GCTCTTGAAAAATTACAACTCCGACACCTACAGTAATTCCTTGCCTCGTCTTTATAATCAGTATACTTCTGTTCAACGCCTGAACCGTTGATTAGAGTTGACCCTAAATTTCAAATTATAAAAATAGATTCAAATAATGCCGTCTTAGTTATCGTTACCAGAATAGTAACTAATTGTTAGTTTGATAAAATTGAATGATAATTTTAAAGTCTATCAGATTCCTCTCAAAAACTGATTATACAAAGTATTCTGGCATTAAACAAATATCTAACTTCTGTATCTCAAAAGAGATTTCATACAATCTTCTTGTCTTCAAATTACAACAACTACTATTCCCCTTTTATCTGAAACTTATAACTATTAGAATGATTACTACAAAGGTAACATGCAAATATTATTCTACATTTCACTGCTGATAATTGTCTAAAAATATGATATAAGGTTTTATGGTTTGTAGTAGAGCTTTTAAAATAAATAACCTTGGAAGTTGATTGCTTAAATGTTGAGTAATGGTGTAAATAGTTAATTATACCAACAATAAAGCATTCTTGAATAATTACATAGTCTGTGATCACGTCATTTTGATCAAATATGACGTGACCGTAGTGCGTGTGATATGCGCATAAAAAATTACTTGGAATAGTATTTTTGTATTGCAATGTTGTATTTTGAGTGATCGTTGAAAGTGATGCTTGCCTTTGTTTTTTACGTTGTTTTTGCTCGCGATATTTGATATAACTTTGCTTGCAGTAATTTCTTGGTAAAATTTCTCTATCACAAATATAATTTGGAGATAAAAATTTACTCTGAAAATAAGCAAACATTTAAATGATTAAATAAAAAGTTAATAATGAATAAATTAAGTATGCGCGTACTTGCAATGAAAGTGACGAAGATTACCTGAATGTCAAGCTGCTCCAATAGATTGCTCCCTGATGCATTTAAATTTTCTAAATAAAATTAAAATAAATTATAGAGTAAACTTTGAGTAATTTTTAAATTGATTTAAGGTTTTATTGATTTTTAGAATTTTAAAATGTTTGATTGATTTTAGAATTGAAAGTTGTACAGAATTCAGTCGGAAAATGCATCGAAGCAAATCATTTCCAAATCAGATTCTTCTTCAAGTCTTTTCAATAATTTCAAATGCTAAATGAAAGAAAGCTGAAAAAGTAAAAGTATTTTTCCATTTTGATGCATTTTCTCTCAAAGCTTGCGATTAGCTGCCAGCTAATTTGTTTGTATTTTGGCAATTAATTAATTCAATTTTTCTTTCAAAAAATTGCAACAAACCATTTTGTTGTTGTTTTGAGCAGCTTTTTAAATTCTCATAAATTGGTTTAAAATAAGCAATGTAAGTAAGTAGTGAGAACAGAACAAAAGCTGCAAGACACGCAAAAATTGTGCATAATATTACGGTGACTGTATGACAGTCACTTTGGAGGCTTGGCGACGAGTCGTAAAACATCGCAAGATTTGTCACAAATTATTTTTGAAATGATAAAGTGAAAAAGAGTAATTGTTAATTAATAAAATACTAATCATTTTGGAAATAGCAAAAAATTTTTTTTGCTTGAAATCAGTAATTACAATTGCATGCTATCAAGTGATCGAGTGATCGAGTGATCGAATGATCAGATTAGTAGTTGAAATCAGAATAACTTGATTATGCACAAAACAGATCGAATTCTAAAATGATAAAATGTATTCAAATTCTTTATAAAATATTTTTTCCTCTTTTACAAAAGTACAATACAGCAAGAACTAGTAACTGAAAGAAAACTGTTGACTTAATTAATATATTAATGGTTTTGAATTGATGTTATTAATTTCCAATTTTTACAAAATATGCAAACTTTTTAAAGTATTTTTCGTATTGTTCTATCAAATTTGAACAAATTTCGAACTAAACTTAACTGATAAAGTCATAGAATGTAATGAATGATAAGAGTTAAAAGGTACAAGAGTTAAGTGAAAGTAATCAATTCAGTATATTATAAGATTGTATGCATAAATCTATTATTGAATGCCGGCGTAGTTGTCACCATAACAACGTGTTTTCCTTCTTTTTTGTCGTAATTGTTACAAGATTGAGTAATATTCGCATAACCAAGCAGACTGAAGTGGATGTGACTAATTAGCTTACCTTAGTGCGTAAGTAAAAGTTGTGAAGTAAATACGGAATTCAAAATGCGAGAATTGGCTCGTTTTTCGCTAGGCAACAAACTTTATTATTTTAATTATTGTTTAAATGATTTGAAATAATTTAATTAAAGCACTTCGCACTAAATTATTGTTAATAAAATAAGCATAGCATTCTTTATTTCTGTCCTTTTTTCCGACTTAATACTTTGCAAAGTTTTACTTTTATAAATAATTTCGTGTAAATAGCAAAATAAAGCAATCGTTCATTAATCAATAAGATAACTTTTTTGCAAATAAATTTTAATTAAAATTTTTTGCTAAGAAAATAGCAATTTCAAGTTAATCGTCAAGCATTTCATTGAGTTTTGGAATGCATTTAATTTCTGTCTTTTAAAATAATTGTTTTATGAGGTAATTAAAAATGCATATACAGACTTCAAGTAAGGATTTGGCTGGAAATAATAGAAAACTTTTTTAAAGCACTCAATTTTGTAATGTACAAAAAATACAGCCACAAATAATTGTAAACCATAATTGACATTTATCAACCTATTGACCTTTTATCTTTTCATAATTATTAAAATGCTCACAATAATAAATGAATTTCTACCACATGTTTTTACTTTCGAATGATTATAGAATAAATATCAATATTAACAATGATTAGCAAATACCATTAATAACAATAATAATAATAATAATAGTAATGATAATAATAATAACGATTTAGTTAATTCAATTTCCTTGAACAATAGCAACAAGCGTGTCACAGTAAGCACCGGAGCAATCGGATTTGATACTGTCTTCAAGCGATTTGCCGTAACTTTCTTCATATTCCTGTCGAATGAGTGCCAAATCAATTTCGGATCGAGAAACAACAATACGAATCAAATCACTATCTCGTGTCCCGAAACCCTAAAAAATTAAATTTAAAATGCAATAACTGAGCTTTACATTCCCTCATCCCACATATATCTAGACGGAATTTAATGCTTAGGATAGATTTGAAAATTTTCAAATACTTCGATAACATATCGAAAATTAACATCTGTCAAATATTCCAAAAGTTTTCACTTCGAATAACAAGAATTACGTACTTTCATCGCCTCATGCAGCTCATAAGCAAAATACGCTGGCTGATTTCTAATATTTTTCACCAATGTTAACAATCCATCCTTCATATCACCGCTAAATTCATTCTAAAATATAATGAAACTCAGAATAAGAGCACGAAATTAGTTAAATAATCAAAGAAGTCAAAAAACTTCAGATTAATAAACTCGAACTTTCATCAGATAAACAACTTAAAAATCACAATTTGAAATCCAAATGCTTCTTTTCATTTCAAATTTAGTCGCTGATTTGTTTGCAAAGCTTTATTCAAGTTTTTAAAAATACAGTAACCGCTTGCAGTAAAAAAACTCAGTTCATGTACTAGATTTAATTATCTTTATAAAATTTGCATATTTTTCGGCAGTTAGGAAAAAGAAATTATCACAAGTTAGTTTCAAGCAAAGTGCTATCAAAAGGTAATGAATGCTAACCATAATAGCTTCTTGGATACTGTGGCCAGTAATTTGCTCATAATCATGTAGAACTCGTTGAAGTTGCGAAAAATTTTGAGAAACCAAAATTTTGATGAACACTGACTCATCCGTGCCCCACTGCTTCTCCCCAGCCTCTTCAAGCTCATGTGCATCCTCAATTCATAATTACTGTAATTTTGCCAATTGAATTGATACCATGCTTAAGCTCAGTACTTTTTTTTTGTAAATTAGCAAAGAAATAAGTTATTTATCATCTAATGAACAATCAAATTTTCACGTAGATTTTGTTAATCTTAGCAATAATCTGTTAGCAGACAATTCTGATAGCTTTCATTAAACGGAAGTTTTTCGCATTGAAAATTTGAAATTGTTGATTGAATGCAATATCAATCACATTATTGACGGATAAGATTAAATTTGAAAAATGATAAAATAAAATGTTCTGCTTGATAAGCAATAAAATTTCTTTATGATCTAAGATATGCAAATTTCTCACTTGATTTGCTTTCAAGTTATCCACTGCCATTGATTCATCGCGATTTCCTTGCACTAATGCAACTAAAAGATTTTCAAAATCTCCACTTGTGTCGCTTTTAATCGCATCTTCCAGAGATTCCCCATAAAATTCTTGATAGGTATTATTGATCATATGAATTTGCTCGTTTGTTCTTGAGCATAATATCTCAATTAGTATTTTCTCTTTCGTACCGATTCCCTAAAAACTTGAAATTAGTATTCATGGTAAAGTGCTAATTAGATGCCATTTCCTCAATCATAAAAGAAGACGATCGAGTAATCATAAATATACATTAAATAGAAAAACAGAAACAGATGTACACTCATAATATGAAGATATTTGTAAAAAGTATTGAATATTTTCGCAAGATTATTTGAATATATTACAGATATAGCATGATGAAGTTGTCGGACATCATATTCTACTTCAGGCGTCATCAAAGCCACGATGACTTCTTCAAAATCTCCGTGAAGTTCACTTTTCAAGCGATCAATCAGATCTTCACCGAACATCGATTTGTATTGTAAAGCAGTCTGAAATGATTTCTTACAATAAATCATCAATTTTCATGCTGCCAAAAGTTTATTCATTAACTTTACACTTTCTTATCATTTTTTCGCAATCAAATAAATTTAAAAGTTATTATCACTGGTGTTTTAATTGTTCGAAAATTTCTGATTTAATTATTACCAATCTCAATTTTCAGACCACTTTTTTTGACCTAAATTATCCTTTCTGTCTTTGTTTAAACTATCAATTAGTGGAGGTTAAATCAGAAATACTTTAATTTCACACATCAAAACAGATTGAAAAATATGCGTTTAAGAGATTAATTTGAAATAAATTTATGTATAAATTAAATAAAATAATCAAAAAAAATTGAGAAAATACGTAAGCCATAAATAATAAATTAACAATAACTTAAGTATTTTATCTTTAATGTATCACGCAGAAATACTGAAGTATTTACTTATGCATCTTCCAGAGATTCCCCATCAAATTCTTGATACATAAATCTTCAGAAATACTTAAATCTTTCAGAAATACTTAAGTATTTCTGCGTGGTACATTAAAACCTCATTAAAAGTAACTCACCGCTTGTCGATCGTCATTATTCATAGCAGTAATTTCTCTAAGTATACTATGTTTATTACATCCGAAACCTTTCATAGCTGTGTGTAAGCTTTCCGCTTCTTTGGTTGCGTCAAAGTTAAGTTTAGGCTTAACAGTACCGAAAAACTGGTGCTGATATCTGAACATTTTTGTAATATTTTGTGCAAAGTGCTGCTTGCGATTTCTACTTAACCTATAAGATTATTTAATGAAATTTGTAAAAAAATAATAATTTCCAGCAATTACAAAACGAATTTTATTCCAAAAGATCTGTCATCTTACTAAATTACGTACGCTTAAGACAGATGACGTAATGAAATTTGAGAAATGAGAGGAAAAATTTTGAATATGATAGCGAAAGTGAATTAAGGATGTTGATTTGATGAAGAAATGAATGAGAGCGCTGAATTCAACGATAGAAAAATATCAAATTCAATTGATTTGTGATAGAGTAATAAATTTTTATCAATATGAAGAAAAATCTTTTTGAATCATATCACTTAATCAATCATACTTTACTGATCAAGAATATTGCTTATTGATAATATTTTGATTGATTAGAACAAGTCATCAGAAAAACGATAATTTAGAGATTATGCATTAAGTGAATAGCACTTACTAATATTAATTTATAATTTAATTATGCATTTATTTTAGAATGATTTTAGCATTTGATTTTATTAAAAAACTAAGTAAAAAGTAAATAAAATATGCAATTTATTGTAATTGACTCATTGCTTTCAGTTTTCAAAAAAAAAAAATTAAATTAAATTAAAATTAAAACTTTTATTCTTTTTTAATTAAAAATTTTTTAAATTAAAATAAAAAAAGATAGTTGAAATGATTACAAATTTGGCAGTAAGTTTGCGTGATTTACGTATAAATAAATAAATCACTTCAAAAAATATTGCCAAAATTGAAGGAAGTGCATAACATTTTATACTTTGCCACACTCATACTAACCAATTGATAATAATAATAGTAATAAAAAGTGATAAATACATTTTCAGCTGAACAATTATCTGAAGAATGACAGGAAGTATAGAAGGGAAGGAATGATACTGACAGAGTGACAACGTTGTCATATTGCAGTGAGTCAGTCAGTCAGCTCAGCGTTCTCATTTCAAACACTTCAATAATACATCTTTTTTTTTTTTGTAAAAAATTAAAAAGAAAAAAAATAAGACGAATAAATAATAGATTAATAAATAATTGAAGCAATAAATAAGCAAAAAAAATGAGTACATTAAATACTTTTTTTAATTTTTATTAATTTTTCGAAAAATTGCAAAAATTTTTTCTAAAATTTGCAGGTTCTGTTATTGATTATTAGTAATAATTTTATTAATTTTTAGCAAAAAAAGAAGAAAAAAAACTAAAAATTATGCACAAAAAATTTTACAAATTTCAAAAAAACTAAATTTATTACAAATATATTCAAAAAATAAGATAAAATTTATGCTAGCAAATTTTGCTATAACAAATGAAATAGAACTAACTATCTTTCAACTCTTAAAGAAGAGAGTTTAATTCGAAAGTATAAGCTTAAATAATTATTAATTTTCATGCGTGATGAGGATATTGCACTCAAATATTGAAATTTCCAAAGGCTTCTGACCTTTATAAGCTTTTACATCTATGAATATTGCTTGCTAATTTTTGAAATACATATTGAAAAATAATTGCTTTTTATTTGTCAGTGTGAAATAATACTTTTTAATTGCAGATTAAATGCTCACACGAACCAACCACACATTAATTAACTTCTCAACTAACTATAAATAATAACTTTTCATGGCTTTTTCGACTTTTTCAAATTCAGTGTAAAACTTTTTCACATTCAACATGACATCTAACTTTTGACCTCCATTATTTGCAGTGTGTAATATTCTTTGATATTTTTAAATTGCACAACTTGTAAATTTTATCAGTTTCCAGCAAAATACGCTTTCAATATAAAACTCAAATTTTTCCAACTCCATAATACTCATCACTGAAAATTTTGCATAATGCAATTAATCTCAGTATGCAACAATGACATATTCAATAACAGATCAATATTTCTTCTTGTATTCAATAAAGAAATTAGTTTGTATTGCAAACATCTGCAGTAATTGAGGTCGGTTGCGCTGCCAGAAGTGTTATAAATTGCTACAAAAGCTTATCATCCGTTTCATATCATAAAAAGTTTCTTCAGCGTATTTTAATGAATTAAGTATGAAAAATTTTTCTCGTAGTTATCAGTAAAAATGAATGCTTAAATTTTCAATACTTGTATTGATCTTGACACCATGAGATAGTATATTAGCATTAGCTTTATCGTTAATATTTAGCAAAATAAATCGATCAAAAGTTAAAAACTTTGTAAACACATTGATTAATAGATGTGTTTACAAAGCTGTTAAAGTTTAAAAAAATTGATAGTTTGAGTTCACTGCAGAGAGATTGGAGTAAAAATTTAAAGATTCTCAGAATCTGAATCAAAGCAGCTGATACTGACTACTGCATCATTTTTAAAAATGATCAAATGAGCTGATATACAAGTGAAGGAAGTGAAATGCATTCATTTTCATACTGATCTCAGCAGATAATTATCGCTTTATGTTCCTTTGCTTGGAATTTTTTCTTTTTAAACCAACCAAAAAAGTGTGCAAAGAACTGTCCGATCTGTCTATCGTACGCATTACTTATGTTTACATCAGATTTTGAGTACTTCACTAATTTTTATCTTGACTAATAGTTCTGTTTTAAATTACACATTTTTGGTCTAAATTCGAATGTAAGAAAAGTGAAAACATGACGTCACGTTTTTAAGGCAAATAATTATTGTTTTCGTTTTTGTGCTTTTTACGGAGAAAGAATTTTACTCGTAAAATGTGTTCTTGTGGTGTTATGCCTTACTTTAATTTACTTTTAGTTTTATAGTTTTTTAGCGATTAAATTTTTTTTGTAGTAAACTATTACTTTTTTCATCTTTAGTAAAAAAATTATTATTAGAAATGTTTATTTTAAAAAAATAAATTACTATAATTTATTAAAAAGAAGAAACATCATTTATTGCGTTAATTTTTTTAATTTTTGATTTTGAGTTCTTTTTAACATAAAAAAATACAAGCAGAATTCAATACCGTCTATGACTTTGTCATCAACGAAACATGCGCTAATTATGTAAAGAACTCATTCATTTCGATGGCTTGTTGCTCTTTCTATCAATCAAAAGCATTTTATAAGTTTTAGTTTTTTGTGACAATCAAAAATTATACACTTCAACTGATTCTTTCATTATTCACATCTATGATTGCAAGACTGATTTTTTAAGTCTGGAAACGGTAGTAAATTACGGTTACAGTATTGAGGATAAAAAAGAAAGAAATAATTTGGAGATGAATTCAAGATGTGATTTTATTTTTGACTTTGAACTAATTTAAGATGCTTTCTTGCACAGTCATTGCTGTGGTGTAAAAATGTTTCAATTCGTAGAAAGATGTTGATTTCATTGTAATATTGATAACCATACGCGTGATAATTAGCTAATATTTCTTTTAGCAATGGGTTCAAAGCATGAATTACATAGTAAGAAGTCATACAAACCATTTAGTAATCACAGTTTTCTAAAGTTCTTGGATAAATTGAAGAATCAGGTGAATGAAATATGGAAGACTGTGTTTTGTCATTTGCCTTCTTCAAATGTTAATGAATTGTTCAAAGAACATTTGATTATTCGAGACTTTTTATTGCAAATCGAAAGGATGCAAAATACTTTATCACGTAAAACAGGAAGTGATCTGCCGTAAGTTTCACTGGATGAATCGTGATTAACAATGTGCTAGTTTGTAAATTACATAGACTTATAATATTCTTTAATTATTGAAAACTTTACATTTTAATGTCAGTGATTAGTGTGAAAATTTTGCTTAAGTTCCGTTATGATTCTTATCTTTTACAACTTGATTTTAATTTATCATCTTAAGTGATTCTTTAAGAAAAATATTTCATAGTGATTCTTCTAGTTGTTTTGCAAATCATTAAAACTGAATAGCCTTTAAAAGATGTCTGAACAGAATATTTAAAATAGAAAGTATGTGAGCGCATTGGTATTTGTAGCATGTTAATTTTATTCAGACATATTACATTGCCTGTTAATTTTAGTTACTAAAAGTTTATAAAATTAAATGGGATTAGTAGTTATTGTGGATGGAAGTCATTGAATATTATGCTAGGTTATGTACTAGAAAAGGACATTGTGGGACTCTAAGCAATAGTTACTGACAACTTATTAGCTTTGAGTTTTTCATTTTCTTTGCATTCATATATGATAATAATTAACTTTTTTAGATATGTGGAACAGCGTAACGCAGCTTTATCTGAATTTTTGGAGTGGGCTAGTAAAGTCGGTATTGTCCATCATTTAGTAAAAATCACGTACGTAGAAGAAATAGATGGTTTTGGGTTGTCGAGCTCGGATTTTGTAACCATTGGATCAGAATTGTTGAAAGTTCCACGAAAAGCAATTTTATCTTGGGATCAAGCTCGCAAATCGTATTTCTTAAAGTGAATTTTCACTGCCTAGGAATTTTTACATTATAATTTATATGACATCGTTTGTTTGTGCTTGATGAAATTAAATTTTTGGCGAGCTTTTGATCGCGATATCATGATACGTTCAATGGAAAATGTTGCATTAGCGATGATGTTGTGTTGCCAAAAAGTGGTGCCTGAATCAAAGTGGATGCCGTACCTTAAACTTCTTCCAAAAACTTTCAATACTCCTCTTTTTTTCACTCTTGAGCAACTACAGGCATGTTAAATTCAATGTATATTTCATATTTACTTAAATATTGAATGCCGACTGGTGAATCATTACAGAGCTAAAATATATCGTCGTTTGTAATGATAGTGTATTTGTCCTATTTCTCTCCTATAATTTTGTTGCTGAACGCAATTTGTGCAGGCTTTACAGTAATAATTATTTCATCAATAATGAATAATTATTACTGTAAAGTTTTGGGAAGTTATGATGTATATAAATAATTAATGCCAGTAAATTTTTATAAAATTAAAGATTGAGCGAACAAAATTTGTTCATTTAATTTTATGACGATTATGTATTATATATAAATATTGAACAACTGTAAGCAGAAAATGAAACTCTTGTGCCCCATCCAGTTTAAAAAAGTAATTAGAAGCAATTTAATATTTCAGTATTTACGCCCATCACCGTTATTTGAGGAGGCTTTATTGTTATACAGGAATATTGCGAGACAATTTACTCATTTTTTGCTAGAAATAATTTATAGTGATGAATTTCGTCATGAAAGAAAGGTAAAACATTATTTATTAATTCTTTTATACTTTTTTTCCGACTTTATTGTAGAAAATTCTTTAAAAATTTGATCGCTTTAAACTGGCTACTGTTATCACTCATTTCGTCAACGTTGAGCATAACTTAAGTTTATTTTGTTCGTAAACTTTTGTCTGAATATTTTTGATCTTTCGTGTCTTTTGTGATTTTAGAGACGTTTTAATTAATATGAAAATTTATACTTTCTTTTTCTCCGGAAAATTTATCTCATTTCGTTATTTATAGAGATAAATATTGAGCCTAGACAAAAAAATGCCATAAACTCAAGAATATAGTGCTTGTATAAAATTTTTTCCTATAATGTACATTTATTTGTAAAAAATAATTGTATTATTATTTTTGCTGATTAATGTTATTATCCATTTACAGAAATCAAGAGAAGAGTCGAAAATGGAACCCATATTTGCTGATTCTCCGCTTACAGCAGTGAATTTCAAATTCGATTTATATAGGTGGTCTGTCGCCTGCATATCAACACGTATCAACATGATCCCAAGTGCAGTATACAAAAGTGACATGGGTCAGCCACGTATGGTTTGTCTTTAGTTTCGTTTGTTTTCAGTCTCACAAAAAATTTTTTCTGGATATTTAGTTTAATCAAGCATAAAACTTGTCTTTTTATTTACTAAAAATTTTTTTTTCGAATTTTACGTTTGAAGCTTTTGAATAAAAATTTTCAATGTAGAATCAAAAAAAAACATCTCTAATGTCTAAAGTAATTACATCATGACATTTGGTTACAGTACAGCTTATGAGTGAAACATGGTGTTTAAAATGCTAAATTGCACTCGAAACTCGAAATTGCAGTAAAAATTTTACCCTTTTTCCGGTTCCTGCATTGATACCGTTTCTCGATATGGCCAATCACAGTTATACTGATGAAGATTTTTATGAGGCAGTACATTTTTCGGATGAAACAGACTGTGCCGTAATCATTGCCCTTCGTAATTATGAGCCATCAGAATTAGTAAATATTTTTTACGGTTGGCGAAATAATCGCGATTTTTTGCTGCATAATGGGTTTGTACCTATGGAGAATATTCGCGACACTTATAAGTTGAAAATTGGTATAAGCAATAATTTATTATCTTGAATTTTCATTTTTAAACCTAAAAACAGCGCTATTTTATGTACTGATGGTATTTCTGCTCTTGAAAAGCTGATAAGCAGCATAGGCCATTTATTTTTTTGTGTGGCATTATTTTTATTTCAAATCTAACATCAGTAAAATATTTTTGCATCTAATCTAATCTGACATAAATCGACTTATAAAATCTCAGTTAGATCTGTTTGATTGATCTATATTGGTGTATTATTTTTAGGACTTCCAAAGTCAAAACGGGAAAGTGAGCGTATGGATTTATTTCATTCTCTTGGTTTTGTTTTGGATTCGACCATTTTTACTTTCGAAGTGAAAGCATTTGAACCATACTTCCACCGATCATTATTTGAATTTGTTCAGATATATGTTTTGGACGAAATTCCATCAAATTCGGAAGAAATAAAGAAATTTTTAAATTCTTCTAATAATATACGAAAGGCTTGGAACTTTCTTCATGATCGTTTCTCACTTCTCTGTGCATCATATGGCGAAGTAAGCAGTCTGGTTTGTACAGTGCATCAGAATTCATCTGAATGTTCGAAATCTATAGATTGTTCCAGGAAGTCCATGATTGCTACTTTAAAATCATCAGAAATCAAGATTTTGCGAAAAGCTGAAATTTTCTGTGGTGAACAGCTGTTAAAAATGACGTGATTGATTTGTATAATGTTTTCCCGCTCTTCAAAATCTAATTGTATGTAAATCGTTTAAAGTTTGTAAAATGAGAAATATGAATCTAAGTAATAGAAAGAAGCTTTTTTCAATTTGTATGTTTGATAAGGATAGTCAGTACATGAAATTAACAAGACAACCTTCTCTGCTTGTTACACATAACGAGATCAGAATCATTTGATTCATCTTCTTTCATTTTGTCCTAATACCTTTTTATGTAAATTTTATCTATGTCTGTGTGTATCTACATTTGCCACTAAGTGTGCACTGATTGCCTATGACAAATCTAAAGTGCTCTTCGAAGAATTTTTTTTAATCAATAAGTTCTATTTATTATTGTTTTCATTGCATGAAATGTATTTATAATCTTAAATTACCAAATTTTTATGGTTTGTTATGTTCCCACCATGTATGTTTACCTAATGTATTCATTAGAGCTGATATGATGATTGATGGATAAAAGCTCAAAATATGCTTCAGTAAGAGATTTAGTTTTGAAATTGTTAAAATAATTATTTTTTGTTAGAAAGTACATGAAAGTATTTTGCTTTAAGTCTGTGCATTTTTTGCATTTCGTTTTGTTTAAAGAAAATTTAGATGATATTGCTATCGCCTGCGACCGATTTGTATGTAACGCGCAATTTGTACCGTATATAAGAATAATAAATGAGAAAGGAATACTTGTTACTAGAATTTCATCTCATTAATTTATGTAGTAACTGCAATAAAATATGATGTGGTTGAGTGGATAATCACCGATAGATGCTTTAATGAGGTGGAACGGACGCATGTCGTGTCTTCAAGTACTTGTCTCTGAGACTAGCTAAGTTCTTCTATTAAGATTAAGATTAAGTGGAGCATTTCTGTCTACCAAATGGCTCTCTATGCCATTTACTAATTTGATTCATGAAAGAAGGTCGTCAGTTCGAGTCATCTCACAAATGATTTGCATCGTTTAAAGTACAACAATGGTCACAACTTTAATTCTACTTCACTTATGACCTAATAGTCATTAGTGAGTGCATCAAAACTATACTGAACAACTCACAGCAATTAGATGTTTCGGAGTAAGAAAAATTTTATGCAAATTTAGCAGTGGGAACCGTACAAAATTTGCAGAGTAGAGTTGGGTCTCTAATAATTTGTCTTTATAAGTTTCACCCAAATATCAGTAGGTATTTTCCAAAAGCATTGCAAGGAAATTCTATTACCTCTCTACCTTAACTTGTCTATGAAGTTTTGAGTAAATGAGCATATTAACGTCATCTTGCCAATCCAAAATATGTAGTAAAAATTTTTTTACATACAAAAATTAAGCAACAATTTTTGTCCACTGATGATAAATATAGAAATAAATTATAGACGAGACTCGTATAATGTCAGGAATTTAGAAATAAATGCGATTAATGATAACGAATGACGTAATCTTCCACGTGATTTCTTACAGTTATCGAAAATTTACGCTAAAAGGAAATGACTTGCAAGGAATTTCGACAATTATAGCAGTAAAAAGAATTGGTGATGTGAAATAAATAAATAAATAAAAGATGCGCGGCTGTGCTAGGCAGCAGGGGTCACTTCTTTTCCAGGTCATTCGAGTCTCAAATTTCAATCTGCTTAAAAAGCAACTTTGGATTACTCATTTGAGCAAGTATTTATTATCACTTCTGTTTCTGACATTTTAAGTAAATTTCCCACTGTGAATGCTCGAAAATTTTTTAATTTAACGTCATGCTATCAATGATTTTATCATTTTTGAATTGATAACTGTGAGAGAGCTAAGCAATTTTAAATTAAAAGGCATGCAAGGATGACAGTGTTATATCAAAAAATTTGAATTTCTAAAAAGTTTAGATGTCGCGCAGTATACTACAAGCAATGTGCATTTGTTTGCATTTGCTGCTACACATTGAGCACTGTCAAACTTGCATGGCAACTCATCCATCAACAACGCCTAAACCACAATCTACCACGTATAATCCACGTACACCAACTACAACTGTTACACCAAATATGGATTGTTTCCCATTAGCAAGGTCTTTCTTTTTTTAACAGCAAGTGAGACATGCCTGTTTTGGATATAATAAAACTAATTAAAAATACATTTCTTTTCTTTGAATAGTTTTATGCTTGCTCACTTGCAAATTGTTCTCTTTAAATTATCTAAGAAGTCATTTCATTTTGTTATATACATCAAAATCAAATTTGAATTTTTTGCTTATAGACAGAAACGAAGTCCTTCCTCAGCAACTGAGTACTTGTCACATTTACCGGAAAACTGCTCACCAGCAGAATATTTAAAGGGTGCTATTGCTGAGATGAAAGCTGGCTTAGTGCCAACGGATTCTGATTCCAAAGAAGACAAGCATACATCAGTACCTGTCTCTATCTCTAGACATCCAGCAATTGCTATTGAACATCGATCTATTATCACCAGTAATGATAACAAAGGAGATAACGCTAATCACAGCCAGTTTTCCTTAACAAAAAGTCAACTTCCGAAATGTTAGTTAGCGATTTAAATATTACTATAAGTAATACTTTGGAAGAGTCATCCATATAACTCAGTTTTCATCACTTTATTTTCTATGTTTAGAGTTGAACTGAAAGTTTTGCAAGCTTTGCTTGAAAATATAAAAGGCAAAATGTGATGAATATTTTCAGTATGTCAAGAGTTTGAATGGGATGGACCAAATTATGTCTATAATCATTCACTCTCAACAAAAGTACCGTATTGTTATAAGGTATGCTATTTTAGAGAATCGCTATTCTAGCAAAAAACGAAAGTTGATATTTAGCAAGCTAATTTTAGAAAGTTATGCTTAAGCAAACTAATTAATGTGAAACATCTTTTGAAAATGATAATTATTCTCAGTGCAAGCTCCAATTATTTCTGTAAATTTTCAAGTATGTAGCAAATATGGATGAAGAGAGTGACAATTTAACAAAAATAACGCAAAAAAGTGCACGTGAAAAATGTCGCTTTTACGGAGCTCAATCTGATGGAACAGCAGATTTGGTTTCTATTCATTCTGATGATGAAAATGAAGACTTAAAAAGTATGAATCTTATACTTGAAAAGTACTTTCAGCTTTAAAGTATGCAAGAATAACTTTTTTTATCATCTAGAATTATAACAAACGTAAGTACTGATTTTTTGTTTTTTCGAAACTTATTCAAGAAATGCTCAATGCTTGTGATTAAACAAAATTAAGGTACACTGTCATTTTTTGGCTGGAAATCAGCGTGGATCGGTTTAGCTTATGAAAAATCACGCAGCATTTGGCGATGGATTGATGGAACAACACTGACCTTCTCAAAACTTTCCCTTCGAGATCCGGAGCAGCATTGTGCAGTAATACTCTCAGATGGCTCATGGGTTTCAGAATACTGCAAAAGCAATGCTGTATCACATTTTATTTGTAAGAAACGAGCAATTTAATGATGCAAATTAGTATTTAATCATAAACATTAGTCGTGTGCTAGCTCAGATAGCTTAGGTGCATTACCAATGAATTTGTTTGTTAGCATATAAATTTTTGAACGATCTTCTTATAACTAATCAAAATTTGCATTAATTCCGTTATATCACTCATAAATAATATTTACTGAAGACAAATTGGATGTAGTATGTGGATAAAATACAAATTTCGAAGTTTCTAAGAAAAATAGAGGAATTTTCTCAAAAAAATTTTTCTTGACTTGGTCTCAAAGATGCCATAGAATTTTTTCACAATCAACTGAGTTCTGATGTCATCTTTTAATGCCCTTTGCCCTTATATATTAATATATTTTATTTTTTGTCCTCTTCCTTTGTGCATCATTTTTTGCTATTTCAGCGATCCAATTTACAATAATTTTGTAAATAGTATCATCAGATGAACCATTTTTTCCACGTCATATACTCCCTTCAATTTAGAAAACAATAAAATAAACATTGAGTTGGAAGTATATTTTGCTCAAATACATCTATATTATGTATAGTCTTTTACAGTATAACAACTATTGACTTACGTCAGCTACTTCTAAGTAAAGAAATTTGAGGCTATCTATGTGTGCAAATAATGCTTTCCGTAGTTATTATGCTATGAACTTACTAAATCCACTGCAGTCTTAAAGTTATAAATAACTCAAAATAATGCAGTCAACATTTCTTCGTCATAATAGTAATCACAAAATTATTTACTTACTTTCAAAGATTTCTTTTGTTTAAAAAAAGTTTTAAATTTAAAATCTCTCTATTTTTGAGGATGGAACAATTGAAATTATTTACGAAAGTTATTAAATTCGTTTCCCACCAAGAAAGTTTAACTAACGTAGTATGTTAAGAAATATGAGAATTAAAAACCATTTCATATTACTCCAATTATATTTCGTTTTAATTAATGAATATTTTAAATATTTCACACTGTTTTGGACAAAACGTATTAATTTAAATAAAATTTTTTAATGAAAATAATAAAAGAATTTTAATTAAAAATAATTATAATTTAAGTAAATAATAAAATTTATTTAAATTTTAATTGTTTTAAATAAATATTTAATAATAAAATTTTGATTAAAAATAAAACAACTGTTCATTCACCAAAAGAGTAAAAAAGCACAGCGTAGCAGTGCGAAAATTAAACACAAAATGAAAGCTTTTATATAATTAATGAAAATTAAACAATTTTCAATACTATTTTATTATTTAGCAGAATAAACAGTTTCTGTAGAATCAACAAATTGTCTTAAATTTTCAAAACAAAGTAGTTTTATACTAAATTAGTCAGTATTCTCGAAACTATCTAGAAATAAAAACGTTCTAGCCAATGCTACAATGCTCAATGACCCTTATAATAATATTAATACAGAATTTCTCTTCGTAATGAAGAATTCTACTGAAAAATATCTGAGACTAATTTAAATTGAGTTCACGAATGATCACTTTATAATCAAAATTTTTAAATAATGTCATAACATCTTAAAACGAAACCTGGATTTTCGTAAAATTCAAAACTTGGCGGGAGAATTGATAAGAGCTAAATTTTTTTGTGTTAGAGTTTAAAAAATTGCTTTGTGCCTCAATTTGTCGTTTCTACCTATATTGTAATATATGCTGGTCGACTTCTTGCGTATGCGTCTCACGTTTATCTAAATCTGTTTTAGGTAGATATATTTTTTAACTATTGTTATTCTGCAAAATGTACGTTTGATTAGTCAAATGTTATGAAGATCACCACATGAAATAAGATTTTGAGATTTTTTTTTAAGAAAACTGAAGTTGTTTAAATGGATCAAAAAATGATTGGAATTTGTGATTGATTTTTTCAACTAATTTTGTTCATTTGGGTGTCTTGTAGCACGTTTTTGGCATACTTGCATTGTTCCAGATACTTTTTCATTCCGCCACTGAAAAATACTCCAAATAGATGTCAAATTCTCGAAAGTACGTTCACAGCAATGATTATTCGTCCAAATAGAAATTAGCCTTGTAAAAGCAGAGTATTATTGTACTATTTGAAACATTGATTAACTAATGAAATTGCAGGGATGATGATAAGTAAAGGAAGTAATGATAAAAGACTTTTAGAAACATTTCATAGCAATTATAGCTGTATATATTTCAGACGTCCTGGGACACCATCTAGGCGAGGTGGTAAACGGATGGATGACAAAGAGAATGTGGAAGTAGTTTGTCGTTTAAGTCCGTACAGCGGTGGTAATCCTTGTGTGATAGCAATTGATGATGAAAATGTCAAGTTTGTGCAACCAGCTTCTATTCAGTCCAGAAATGGAATATCTCCGGTATATCATTTCATTGTTCACTCATTAAACTGCAAGGAAGTTGTTCGTGTCGAAAATTACTTTTTTGTACTGCGTTTGGATATGCAACAGCCTTATTCAAACTTTTGTTTTTCATTGTGTTCCGAAGGCTTTTTAATTTCCAAAGTATGAATTTGGCGTCAATTTATTGGTTCAAATGGAAGCAATTCGTTTTTAGGTAGAAGCAACTTACAAGTTTTCTTATGTGTTTGACGATAGTGATAGTCAGAAGATGGTTTTCGAGCGTACAGCTCTAGATTTGATAGAGAATTTAATTCGTGGAAAGAATGCGTTGCTTTTTACTTATGGAGTAACTGGAAGTGGCAAAACTTACACAATGACTGGAAATACTGATGTAATTTGAATGTTTTTACTTTATATACTATTAATGAAATAAAACTAAGTCTCTACTTAAAGAAGTTGTATTGTTGAGTCCCGTTTCCTTTATGTATTAATTCTGAAAGATTGCATTTCATGTTCTGTCTTTAAAAAAAGCGTACGCTTAATTATATTATTGGAGATTTGACCTTTACAAGTGCCGCCAGATAAGTTTCTCTTTTGAGGAGTTATCATTACAGGAAGACTCAATTGGAATCCTTCCACGTACTTTAGATGTTATATTTAATTCCCTGATCAATCGTGCAGATAAATGCATTTTCAAATCTGATGGACGGAATGGATTTACAGTGCTTAATGAATTTGAAGCTGCGATTGCCCGACGTCGTCTAGAGCTTGAGCGTTCGGATAGTGGTATAGAATTGACGAATCGTTATGTGGAAAGACGAAGAGTATGATTTACATAGTCATAACAATTGTATTTCAGCACACTTTTGTTAAATTTTACTGTCAGTGGAAATCAATGTATAATATAGTTTTACATCAGGCATGCTACTTTAGATTTGAGATCTGAAACCAAATTTGCTCAACAGGAAATGAATTGAAGCGGCCAAGTACCGTATAGATAGCAAAAAAATGTCATTCTCTAATTTTTTGTATGGGTGTTTTCTATCACAACCTAATATTTAACATCTGGTAATTCTAGGTCAGTGGTGCAAATCCAGATGTAGTTTGCGCGGTTTTTGTATCCTACATCGAAATCTACAATGAGATTTGTTATGATCTTTTAGAACAAGCAACTTTAAAACAGGATGGTACCAAGTATGTTTTGTTGGAATTTTTGGCAATTTTGATTGCTTTGACTAAAGTTGAGTTTTTTTTTCTTCATATACTCAAGACAGTTGATGTTCATAATCATGGAACTTTGAAATTTCATGCTTTTCAGACATTTGTGTTTGATACATTTTAGTCAACTGAAATTAACTCATTTTGCAGAACTTTATGTAGTAAAGATATCAAAATGGCTAGCAATAGTATGTTTTATGTGGGTAACGTTACTGAAATTGAAGTTGATTCGAGTGATGAAGCCTTGGAACAGTTTTATCGAGGTAGATGAGCATAAATAATACTCTTTTCATGTACTTGTAAAGAACTTAGACAGCTGCAAAGTTAATTGTTGTCATAACATTAGTTTGGCAACTACTTAGTATCACTCATTGGAATGTAAATTTTGCTTCAGCTTCTAAATGCAGTAATTTTTTGATAGAAAAATGCAAATAATGACTATTTTAATCTCAAAATATTAATCTTGTTGTGTGAAAAAAGTTATGAATGCACAAATTTTTAAGCTTAAAAATAATGCTGTAGTAAAGAAAAGTATCTCGTTATTGAATATAATCATTAATGATAGTTTGAACTTATTAGGACAAGAAAGACGCCGTGTCGGTGATACACTGTTGAATAAGCAAAGCAGTCGTTCGCATTCCATATTTAATATTCGTGTAGCTATGGCACCCTCTCGTCCAGATTCATATTTCCCTGATGCTGATCCTGCTAAGGTATTTATGCAAAGATTAATCATAAAAGCATAAGGTTTACAATATCACTGAAAGAAACCCATATATTTTTATAGATCCATGTTAGCCAGTTGTCATTAGTTGATCTAGCCGGGTCAGAACGAACAAAGAGAACAGGCAATGAAGGAGCACGTCTTGTTGAGAGCAGCAAAATAAATCAAGGCCTCTCGGTTCTTCGACAATGTTTTGAAAAGTTACGGTGAGAAGTTTTCTTGAAAAATTTTGGTAATTGAGTTTGTTTATTCCAAGACTGAGTAAAGTTTAAGTGATGTATGCGCTTTTAGGAACAATCAGTTACGTGACAAGGCAGTTACAGTTTCTTATAGAGAATCTAAAATAACTCATTTGTTCAAGAATTTTTTCGAAGGCACTGGGAAAGTCCGTATGATTATTTGCATAAATCCAAGACCAGAAGATTTTAATGAAAATCAGGTAATATTCTATAGAAATTATCAAAATGGCTTTTCCCCTCGTCACATTTCGTTTGATCATAACAGAAAGATAGCTAATACTTGGTTATACATTAGTTTCTTGACTATTAGTTTTGGTCAATAATCTAAGCTATCAAGTAAAAATTTTGAGATTTTAGGGAGTATTGAATTTTGCTGAACTGTCACAAGACATTGTTGTTTCGGAGGGAAATGAGGTTTTACCACCAGCTGCAACCGGTTTTCCCATTAGTCGTCGCAATTTTTTGAAATGGCTGAATGAATTGGGACCTTTGCCCATTCAGGTATATTTTATGCTTCTGTATGACAAGCCAAGAATTTTCGTTTAAATTCATTACTTTTCCAGGAGAACAATTCGTTATCGTTACCACCTCCACCACCATTTAAAATTTCTGGTCCCGATGATGCAGAGTCAATAATACGATTACGTGATTATTATCAGAATGTTGGGCAACAGCAAGATGCTTTAAGAAATATATTTGGCCATAAAAGTATAATCCTTCACTTTCACATGTATTTCTAGTTGATTTGGATAATGTTGCATCACTTCATTGTAAGATATGTAAATTGAGGAGCGACGAAAATTTATTGATTAGATATTGGATTAACAAAATGTATGGATGTGGGCCATCGTTAATCAAATGTATGCGACTTACTAATGGAAACCTTTATTTACTATTTGCAGTAGCAGAAATTGAGCAACATTTACAACGTGCTTTGTGTACGATTGATTTGCAAGAATTGCGAATTCAAGAATTAGAAACAGAAAAAGATGAAACTGAATATTTGCTGACGACATTAACATCTAAACTGAAACAAACACGCGTAAGCTTCTTTTAATTTAATTGGGTTTTGCAATTGTTCAGTCTTCTTTTCAATAAGTTTTTGTTTTGTTGATGTAACGTGCATCATTTCTTCAACATTATGTATGCATATCCTTTTACAGCGCGAAAATATGATTTTACGTCAGCAGTTAGAGCGTTGTGAGCTGAAAGAAAACGACAAGCTAAGTCAAGAGGAAGAACATAGGCGACGTGAAAAGTTGTATCAAGAACAACTTCGCAAAAAAGAAAAAACACTGCATCAGGTGACTGCTTCTTTCAAAGTAAGGTGTTTAAATGCAGAAATAAACAACCTTATATATGTTTCATCTTGTAAACTTTTGTTATGTTAAGGTTCGGGAGATATGCGAAAGGCCGTATACTTCTATAATAAAACGCTTCAAGAGTATTGAGAATATTCATGATGTTACTGTGAAAGATGATAGTGCTTTATGTAATGATAACAAGGTCAGTTTTGACACGTTTGGTTTTGTCATTTTATTTGATTGGTGATTTTTAAACTTTTTGTTTATTTTTTTTATCCCAAAGCGATAATTGTAAAATTTCTTTAGCGGGTTTATTATCAAAAAATTTGTGAAGAATTTTGCATGGTTTATGTCACACTCTAATTAATTGTTTTTTTTCCTTAAATTTAATTAAAAAACAATTTAGGCAGTCTCACCTTTTGTGAGATTACATGAATATGACATTTTCATTTTTAAAAACGTCCCTAATGAGCTCAGTTGTTTTATATAGGTGATTGTACAAAATATCGAACCGCTCACCCCTCATCGTGTTGCGCTGGCAAGACAGAAATGGGAAGCACGAACTGCAAATCAAAATGTAATTTTTCAATTACTAGAAATATTTTATTGGTACTAGTACCGGATATCACAGTTGTGATTTGAAGTCGCAGTTTTTCCTTGAAGCTTCTGAAATTACTATAAATGCAGAGTATTAGTCATCTATGATACAATGTTTTTCTTAGACTACAACAAAAACACGAACTGGCTATTACAATCCTCGGTTTCATAGGCGATCTAAGAGTGCCAACTGTAAAATTATTGATCATCAACCTCGGACTCGCATTCCAGAAGGGACAATTTTGCAGCCGCGATTGCCGAGATCCTCGAAAACAGTGAACAGAGTAGGTGCTAATGATCTGAAGAAATATTCTGATTATGTTTTGACGCATCAGGAGCTTGATCAAAAGGGCAACCTGACTACGCAAGTTGTGAAAGTATGGCCTTGAATTTGCTATATTTTATTATTACCAGTATTAGTGGCTTTTGATGTGTAACATTTCTAACGGACAGGTAGAGCGTAAATAATTGCTGTAAAGATTTATTTTTGAAAACAGAGATTAATATTTTTTCACATATCAAATTTAGAAGTTATCAGCAGATATCTTAGTTCATGATTAGTAATTGGACTCTCATGACGAAAGACCATTATATGTCATTTACATAACATTTCGAAAGCTGCTTGACAGTCTTATCTGACTTAGCAAGACTCAGAAAAATGCATTTTATTTATAAATATCGGCATCTCAATAAGGGACAAAGTTTGCAGGGTGAGTGCATTCCAACCGTTGGAGGAGGCACAGCAGTACGTTTCAATGATGTCGAACGATTGTCTCATGAATCACCAAGAATTTAAAAAGTTACTGAGATACATGCTGTTAATTATCGTTAAATTTACCTTATTATAACTAAGGATTTATAGCGCTTCATGCTATCGCTTCTCTTTTAACATAAGAGACCACTAGCTAGGTTTTTTATTTCTCATAGTTTTAAATAGTACTTTAATATTTTCTCAGAATCTGTCAATGGTTATTTTGCAATTTAAATATGTTTAACAAAATCTCATAGATCACTATGAAATTTTTCATTTTCATCATTTTATATTCTTTCTTGTTATGTGAAAAGGAAGTGATTACTTCTTCATTAGTAATTTAACTCTCATGACACATAACTGTGTCAGTCTCTTTATGTACAGTATTTTTCGTTCAAAATACATGCCATATTATTCATCTCCAAGCTTATATTTTTATAAATTTAACTTTTTTGAGTGAATTTTGTAATTCTGCATTATTGCATGAAACAGCATATAATTTGCCTCCGTATATATTTTACAGTACGTGAAAATTTGTTTAATTAATCACTGGAACAAAGATATGACATTTTCCTATTTAATACGTTTGTGGCAACCAGTACTGATGTTTTGTATTCCAATAACAACTTTAAAAATTCTCAAAGAGTGGGTGAAAGAAAATGAATTTGTGGATAATTCGTCTTAATTTAAGGTTATTTCTGAATTTGATAAATATAAGTAAACAATAGTTTGCGTTTTTGTGGTTGCGAGTTCAGAAACAAGTTGTGCATTTCAGTTTTCTTTTCTATTAAACACGTCAATATTGCAAGAAAATGTTTCGTTGTAGATTTTCTCGAACGAACAAAAATGATTTTCCGAATTCTGTGCTTATTGATGAAAATATCGTGTGATATCTAGAATTGCACAGAAGCAGCGCACAGGCCCCATTTCTCCTCATAATTTTTATTTTTTTCTTACGTCGGTTTATTGCATCATTTGGAGCAGTTTGATATTTGAGTACTGTCTAAAACCACAGAATCAGTTTGAATTGTTATGTGGAGGTGCACAAATATTACACAACATCTCTAAAACAATTTTAGGCCTCTCATGGATGAATCATTTGACCGAAAGTAAATATGGGCCGTAAAACTGGACTCAAATCAGTGGTCAGATCTCGAATCGAAATGGTTCCTTGAATTCTGTGAGTAAGTCTATGATTCCTTCAATTTCCGAATGTTGCAAAACTTTGCAAATACTGCATACACACAGTTCTTCGTTTGTACATGTATGGTTGAGGAAGTACTGCAGATGAAATTTTGGAAGCAAATCTCAATAGAAATGATTTTTTATTGCTTCTTTCTGCAAATGTATCGCGCACATTTTGCATGCACGCATTCAGATCCCCGGATTATTTTTTTATCTTGGGATTTGTTACAACATACTAGAATCTTAAGAATGACACTTCTTACAAAACCACCAATACTATTTTGTAATGTTTCACTCCTCGGTGCACTATTGTTTGTTTGGTAATACGTGGTCAAGAAATCTTTCAGTGTCAGTCATTGTTATTGCAACAAACATTAACAGTAGTAATGGAAATGGATTCTTAGCTTAAACAGATATGCTTTCAGGTCCTTAACAAACTACCTCCATTACGTCACAATGTATTTGGTTGTTCATAGGTTGAATCAAATTGTAATGTGTAGTCTATCTTGAAGATTTAAGGCGTTAAGCTGTATTTTTAAAAATATTCAATCTGATTCGGAAGCAACTCACGAGATTACTCTATTTTCTACACCTGCAGTGATGTATATCTGAAATAGTTTTTCCCAGTTGTCAGTGAAATTGCACCACATTGAAGAGTGCTAATAAGTGAGGTTTTTTGTCGCGTTTTCACTTTGACTGTAATATATAAAGTTTCAGTTGCAGTTGAATTGGAAAATAATTTCGGGTTGAAAACGATGAAGAATGTGGTAGTGAGAGTTTTGTGCAAAACAAGATTTACAGCAAACTGAAGTAACTAGTTGTTGAGCAGATCATCAAGGTATGATCTTCAAGTAATGACTGACAGCTTTTGCGAATTTACTCATATTAAGCAGTAATATTCTTGATCTTTTTATTGATTCAAAGCATTTCAATATAACAATCAAGCAGTGATATTCAAATATGAATAAAACTAATAAATTTTCAGTCAAATAGACATATTTAAGCACTCCTTAGCATAATTCATTTAATTTCTCAAATAATTCAGATTAGCTCTGAAATCTCAAACAAATACAACTTACATAAAAACTTTGTATATAAATGCATTCAAAATTATACTCTAAGTTCACAAATTTTGCATTTTAGGACAAGCAAATATTTACTTCAATGTTATAATTTAGTCAAAAATATTGATTATTCTTTTTATTTTTCAATAGTTTATTAAGAATTATCCTTATTTCGTTGTTCATATTTGTAGAAGGTTCAATATTCCGTAATGAATGTACTGTGGCTGCAATTCTTGTGCTTCATCGACACGTGTTTCTAAACTCAGTTGGTAGAGTGATTTTTGGCTCGTTTTTTCTACTACATTTGAGATTTTGATCGCATCGTTTTCTGTATCCTGCTACAGTTCATCATAATTTTTAAAATTATATACAAAAATTTTCAAGTTAGAATACTTATTTTACTATTAAGACTGAAACCTTCAGTATTATATCTCATTTCAAGATTCCCTTTCAAAAAACGTATGCAAATTCATGCAAAAGTTTTTCAAGTTCAAAAAAATATTTTTCGGATTAGGATTAGCTTGTGAACGTAAATAGCGTATCAGTTAAAAATGCATTCTTGTCATGTAAGTAAATGTAAATACACAATTTAAAATGAAATTGTGATCAATCATTCGCGCAAATTGCATAAATATTTTTAGAAAGACTTTTGTTTTTGACGCAAAATATTTATGTAATTTAAATTAAAGATCTATAAGATAAGCTTTTGTTCACGTTAGCTTCAACGTGAACGACAGGTCATGCAATTAAATTAAAATTGAAGGTAGACACGATAACTGATAATTAGATGAAACAGCAGTTGCATTTTAGACAATAAATAGGTGTAGAACATTACTTTTCAACATAAACAATAAATAACATATTTTATGACATGAAAATAACTTACCTAAATTACCACGTGTAGTAGATGTAGTTAGTGATAGCATTGGAAACGCGCAGTATAAAATAAAATGCATGTAGTCGTGCAGTTTTACAATTTGTTGTTCATCCAATTTGGTTGACATTATGGGAGTTATACAGGTATACGTCAGATTTGACGTTGTTTCACAATCTCTTTGTATTGAAACAGGTCGTATTGTTTGATAACATCGAGCTAATAGAGGAGAAATTGGTAAGGTTGCACCAGTGAATTCTTCTGAATCAGCTATCTTCATTTTAGGTGAATTATCTTCTGATGATGCTATATCTCTACCTAAAATTGCTCTACTATGAATAGAAATATATGGAAAATTAAAAATCTTATTTGCAAAGAGTAAGTTTGTAATTTGTTAGTTATCAATTTAATTTGTATAAAATGTTATTGGAATTGTTGTTTAGTGACAAAAATGTAAAGAATTCTGAATGATTTTTTTATTTAAGAAAAAAAAAACGTGTTTAAGCGTTTTTATGCGTGTATTAGATTATTGTAAAATTATAAAAATATGATCAAAAACGTAAAAATGCTTTTCTTAATTTGTAATTATTGCACTTGGAGTAATAGTAATGCTCACGTAATGCCTTATTTTCTCGACAAATCGTGTATATTAGATTTTTTAAATAATTTGAATTGTTGCGCGGAGGTTGCAAACTAGATGGAACTTCCGCCAAATTAATGTATGAATACACTGCCATTTAACCACAGATTATTAATTTCATTCAAAATCTGAATAAAATAAAATAACCACTGGAGTTGATCAGTAGAAAGCTGAATCAAGTAACCATAAACAGCAACTATAATTAATTTAAAATATGTAAAAGAGTTTTAAATATGCAAATTAATGAAAAACTTACTGTCAAAGTAGTATAATGAGAATATTACGTCTCGAGTAACGCTGAAATAAAAACTGAAACTTATTGACAGATTATATGAACTTATTCTATTTAACCTATAAAAACTTAATCACTAAATCAGTTAATTTTAAGCTAAGCTTTACTATTTATATTGCCCGCACAATAATATTTTGAATTGGCATTGCAAGAAAAACTGATGGAAGCTTGAAAGCAATGAAACTGTACTTACTAACTTTTGACCTTCGTTATTTATAAAACATTTTATTTTAATAAGTAATTGAAGTAAAGTATGAAACTGATAAGACAGCACAAAAGCAAATTCTGAGTGAAGAGAATGTTATAATTGGCTCTGAGTAAATTTTTTCAAGTCAAAAAGTTATTACTACAAAAATTTGTGATCTGTTATCAATTGTTCTATTCTGAATACATTTCGAGAATATTCTTTGCTTGTGCTCAATTTGATACTATTATTTAAATTTTTTTTATCAGTAATTTTATAGCAAAAATTGGCGCCAATTCTTAGAGTGCATTAATTTTAATACATATTCAACATGAAATTAAATCCGATATCGGTAATGCATTTGAAAAAAAAATTAATTACAAAAATTTTTTGTTTTTTGATTTTGAGCACATTTATGTTAAAAAATATTTGAAAATTAAGCCTCAATTTGCAGGTTATTCTGAAGTTTTCAACTTTCATCTTTATGCCATGTCATGTTATATAA